AGAGAAGTAGCACTGTTTTATTTTTAAATTTTAAACCACTCCTTACTTTCCTTCTACGGCTGTGCATCCTGTGTGTGCTATTAAAGCAATATAGTCACTCCACAAGAAAAAAGAAAGGCTCTGGGTTTGTGCAGCATTTAACAGACTCCAGCTGTCCCATGAAAACTCAAACCAAATGAGGTTATAAATCAATATCAGGAGAAAGGAACGTGGCAATATATCACCAGAGACTAATGAAAATCAAGGGACATTTCTCATGTATTTGCCACATTGTCTCTGTAGCAGCAACTACTACTCTATGTTACCACTGTTGTGATGGTATAACTTCAGGATTTATTGGCCTTTTTCTTTTCCAAACTGGTATGAAGAATAATGATTTAGAATTACCCAGTGGTAAGGTAGACACTTTTGGGAATTCTTATACAACTTTCACCCACACCAGTCATGGAAACAGCTCCAACAGGGAAAAAGTCAGAACAGAAAGAAACTGGCACGGTCAAACACTCACCGGGGATCCGTCACTCCAGGAAAGCCCACCGTCAGGATCCAAACACTGCAAACCTATCCAGAAAGGCTGAGAAGATGGGACTTTTTTTCTAGAGTGTGAAAAATTGTATCATAGAAGAAGAGGACGTATGTGGTTAGTTCTGCTAAATTTTCCAGGTTATGTGGGACAGTAACTCTCACACATATTGAAAACTTAAAATAGAGTAGAAATTTTAAAAATAACTGAATGCTGTTGGTCAGCAGCTCCCATTTGCAAGCAAGTGAAGTTCACACCTTAACATTTTCTACTTTGCAAATGGTTGTGTTGAAAACACAGCACATCATTGTTTTTCTTCACTGATGTGATTATAGTGTTTTTGAGAAATAAAATGTTCAGGTTTACTGGAAGTCACAATTTAGTTTCAAAATAGTTCAGTGAACAAACATAGAAATGGGTCCAAAGGAGACCATTCAATCAATTTGGTTGTGGGTTTGTTTGGGTTTTTTTAATTTAAAAGATTTGCAGATGATCACCAATTTTAGGAACTCAAAAAATGTCTTTGAAAATGGTACCCATATGAAACATTTTCTCAGTTTTTTTTTCTTATGACTATGATGGTAAGCAGATATAGATTTTCAACTAATTATCTCAGGAGCAACTCAAGGATATTATCATTTATTCCTATGTAATATATTGTTACACCAAAATATCAGTTATTAGATATTTTGTTTACTTACATTATTAAGTTTTCTATTATTGTTTGCTCTTCTTCACTTCTAATGGCAGCCAGGTCTCCTCCTATTTCTCTGCAGAAATCTCGGGCTTCAAACCATGTCTTCTTTTTTTTTTCTTCTCTCACGAAAATCTATAGATGTAGGTAGAACACTATGTTTACAGCATGTTAAAAATAAATCTGCTGACTGCCTTGTATAGGCAAAACAGGAAAACATTCTGTTGCAATTATCATATATAATATGGATTAAAGAGTATGCTAATTGGATAACCTCATGTATCACTGATAAAGTGATAACTGCAGTGATTTCCATGAAAGTTGTGTAAAAGCTTACTACATTTGTGCAATAACATGCCATTCTTTGAAGTTTAGATGCCCTGTCGATTTGGTGCTCTTCTGTCGCCTGAGTGGGATTACTGGAAAAAATAATACTTACTCTGAAGCATGAATTAGTGCTATTGCTTGTGTCCCAACCTAAGGGACATTTGGAATCAGAAATGGTTTCAGGAGCAAGAGGAAGACTGATTTTTTCAGCTAGTTTTTTGCAGAGAAATTTTGCCTTTACTTCACAGTTCTGAACATCCCATAGTCCAGCTGCATTTCCAGTCCTTAGGGCAACACAACCGGCTTCATTCCCTTTGTAAGACATAAAAGAAAACTGAAATGTGTTTTAAATTGGTTCCCTCGACATTTTTACAGCTGATGTGATTCATTTACAAAAGACTTTTGAAATATTGTTTGAAATATCATAGAACCATAGAATCTTTGGGTTGGAAGGGACCTTTAAAGGTCATCTAGTAGTGTCCGCTCAAAGGAGGAACTTTGTAAATAGAGAAAACCAGCAAGCAGAGTCTTTCATCTTCCCTTCCCTTTGAAAAGCTTTACAAGTGCATGAACAACCCCTTGGCTGCCTCTTTCCTATGTCACTCACTGCAAGGATTTGGCAGCCTGTCGCCCAGGTATTTCACCCTTTCTGCTCAGTTTTATTTTGCTGCTGTAAGAAATGAGACGTCAGAAAAGAAATATTTTCATGGCATTGTAGGGGATCGTAGAATCATAGAATCATTTAGGTGGGAAAAGATCATCGCGTCAAACCATTAACTGAACACTGCCAAGTCCACCAGTAAACCAAGTTCTTAAGTGACACATCTACATATCTTTTAAATACTTCCAGGAATGGTGACTCCACCACTTCCCTGGGCAGCCTGTTCCAGTGCTTGGCAACCCTTTCCGTGAAGAAATTTCTCCTAATACCCAATCTAAACCTACCCTGGCACAACTTGAGGCTGTTTCCTCTCATCCTATCACTTGTTAGTTGGGAGAAGAGACCGACACCCACCTCACCGCAACCCCCTTTCAGGTAGTTGTAGAGAGTGATAAGGTCTCCCCTGAACCTCCTTTTGTCCAGGCTAAACAACCCCAGTTCCCTCAGCCGCTCCTCTTAAGACTTGTTCTCTACACCCTTCAAGAACTTCATTACTCTGCTTTGGACACGCTCCAGCACCTCAATGTCTTTCTTGTAGTGACGGCCCCAAAACTGAACACAGTAATCAAGGTGCAGCCTCATCAGTGCCAAGTGCATGTATCAAAGACACTCCTGTTTCAAGGGCGGAGTGTTTGTATGTGTCATCATGGATGTGTGTTATCAAAGTTGGGAAATGGTTTAGAATTACAACACAAAGTTCCTTAGTAGCATAAATTTACTCCAATGGCAAGAGTACCAGGCATTGCTGCGTTCCAGTTTGTGTACAGAACACCTTCACCAGTCACCCACTTGAAGATCCCTTGCTCTTCCATGTCTGAGAGACCAATCCAAAAATACTTCTCAGACCTCAGACCAACAAGGCTGGTCAGGTAGGCTTGCTCATATCTGAAATGACAGGAGTCAGATGGGGATTAAGCCTACCTTTCCCTTAGTCTGCCATTTCTCAGCATCCTAAACTGCAAGAAGACTATGATGAATGGAGTCTGCATTAGGTTTCCTTTTACGTGGAAATGTGTTGCTTAACTGGGTACCAGACTGACTAGCTTCAACGGCAGGTGAAGCTGTGCTATACTGAAAAACTGCTCCTCACAGAGCAGAAGCAGCTGTGGTCTATTCTTTCAGAGTAAAGTACTGGAAAACATGAATGTGTAAAACATATTTAGTTAGAAAGTACATCATCTATTTGTTGATTTTTTTTTTTTTCCTCCAGAAAAAGGGTATTCTGTTTCTGGTGTCACATATTTTTCCAAAATGTTCTCAACAATTTTATAAAATGCCAATGTTATTGCATCAGATATACATTTTTTAAACTCTTTTCATACCTGTCTCCTATACTTGTTAAGTAAGAACTGCTCCGTTCACAGGTTTTCTTTGCTTCGGAAAACGTGACAGAGGAATGTCCAACCAGGTAGCAGTAAAAACCATGTCTTTCCCAGCCCTGCCAAGAACATATGAAACATACTTGCAGAAAAAGAGCATATGTTGAACTTCAGTCTATACTCTTAAATCAACGTATTTTTAATGTAACCCAATGTCATAATGTATTCATTTGAATTCCAGTGGACTAAATGGAAATCAAGCTTAGTAAACATACAGAAAGAAGTGATTTAATGCATATGAGTCCCCCTTTTTTGACAATTAGTAACTTGTAAGTTTTAACTGATAAAATGTCAGAGGCACACAGAATGGAGAGTGTATTCAGAAGCGGGTGAATAAAATACTTCCTTGCTCGGAACTGAAGAGAGTAGCCTGTGTTATAGTGAGATGCTGACTGAAGTTTCCTGATGTTTCTAAGCTAAAAGAACAGTAACTAGACTAATTAGTTGATTTAGCTGATCAGTTCACCTAAAAAGTCTGACTGAAGAGGTAGCATAAAAACTATTGAAAAGCAAATGCTCAAAATTACACCTGAATTCCAAGTCACCTTTCCCTTCTATGCCAGCTCAAGATTTGCACCTGAGAAAGGTAAATAAAATCTGTGTTCAGTATTTCGCTGCTGCCTACTTCCATCTCAGAGATGTTACTGAATAGAGAACAGTAGTAAATAGGAAAGTAAAAAGAGGGGAAAAGAGAAGAAAAAAAAGCAGTGGGATACAATAGCTTGTTCAAAACTAATTCGCTCATAGAAGCAATTTGATTGTTTTGATTTGGTTTCAATAGTGAGATTTGTCATCATCTTGCATCATGTCACATAGTGCAGAAATATTTCCCAGTCTCTACTACATCTTAGATAACCACAGATGGTTGTAGAACAATATAACAAATATGCACAGAACCGCAGTAATGGCTTTAGCCTCTTTCACAGACAGTTCTGAGAGATAATGGGCCTGACTCATATTGACTAAAAATATTTCAAAGTAACTTCATTTTAAATAAGGGGATGTAGTGAAAATTATCACCCTGAATTTGATGTACAATCACACTTGTCAGGGAAAAAACAAAAGATCATTTCAAGGTCAGGTGGAGCTTGTGAGAAGAATGGATTTTTGCTGACCAGATTCTTGGTTACGCTTTGTTGTTACCTTCAGGCAGGCAGGATCAGTCTTTGCTGTCCCAGAAACTCCTTGTAGCGGGTCTCTTCTGCAGATGTAACCTAACTTTCTATCACAGGCACCGTCTGCCCAGTATCCATCCTAGATGCAGTTTGGGAAGAGGTAAAAAATAGTGAGGCAGAACCTGTTTTCTTCAGAAACTTTACTGATTTTTTTTTTTATTGTTTCAATGAGAGAATAAAGATCTGTACTTTCTAATGAGTTCCAGGTATTTGTGCTTAATTGAGGGGTTATGTTAAGCTAACTAAGCATCATGGGCAGACTGGTGTTTGCTTGGTATGTGATGTACACTCACAGAAATGAACATTTATCTAATTTAATTTTAAATTTAATTTAGAGCAACCATCTTTCTGAGTGAATAAAGATACTGTTCTCAGATTTCTTTCTAAGTTGCATTAAAAAAAAGAAAACTAGAAATAGAAACAAAAATCAAATGGTATGGTGCTACATAAATGTGGAATGATTCTACCTCTCCTGCCATAATGACACAATCTTCTTGCCCATTGATTGCATGGGTTGGTTCTCCAGGCAACCATTTGGTATAAGTCACAGGAGTCCCATCACTCCACTCAAAGTACATTTGAGTGTTGAGGTCATTCAGACCAATCCACAGCTCATCCACAGCTTCTAAGAACAGAAATTCACTTGTGTTAGTACCCAAGTTGAAACAGTCCATGGGAGGAAGATTTTATGGAGATGTGCTGAAATTGCCATGTTACAATACAATTTCATCTAGATTAAATGACAGTGGATTTTATTTTAAGATCTACTTAGCATTCTTCTTTCAAGAAGTTAAAAAATGAGATGCCAGCAGGAAATGAGATTCCTCATCTTTATCAGTAAAATTCCATTACTGTATCTACAGCTACGAGGTGTCTGAGGCAGATAATCAGCCCAACTACTGCAGTAACTAGAGCTGTTATTTCCTTCAAGTGATTTCATGCAGTGAGAAACAAATGAAAAACAAAATGAAAAGAATGAAAAAGAAAAATAAGATAGCATTAATGATTCCTCTTGTGGCTTTTTTGGTGTTTGGGTTTTTTTAACCTGTATGTCTGTGGGCTTCTCTATAAATATTCATACCGAACAAATAAGAATTATTTTCTTTTAATCCTGTAAGATTTCCAATAATATAATCCTCCATTTGTACCAAACACCACCCTGTAGAAATACTCACTGTAGCCAAGCTGAGACAGTATGAAGCCATGCTCCTCGGAGTTGTGGATACTGGCCAGATTGCCACTGCTCTCATTGCAGGAAATTCGGGCTTCTCTCCATACTCTGGGGTCTCTGCGAACCGTGAAACAGTGAGCTCCATAGGGCAGCCATCCTCCTGGGCATTGAACAGGCTCTGCATCCCCTCAAAATCAATAGATGTTTCAAGTTTTTAAACAGTGCGAACTGAAGTCTAGAATAACTGCAATTACATTTGAAATCAGTTAATCAACTAATTAGAATGAAAATGGAGTGATTATAAGTAAGCAGTGCTTCTATTCATTCCTCATACATATAAAACATCTTAGTCTGCTGTTGCACGCTGTACTTTTACAGAAAACATACTTAATTTAAACAAAAGAGGAAAATTAACGGAGCTGGTGTTTACTGGGGTTCACTAGTGTGAAATAATCACTTTTGGCCAGAGGAGTATTTTGGAATTCCACGTATAGTGTTTTCCCACAATACACCCCACCCAATTATGTTTTGCATATTTCATAAAGGCATTATTACTGCAGCACAAGTAATTCTTTGCACACATGGCTTTCCATACTAAGTCTCATTAAATAAATCAGAGAAAAGCGTAGTAGAAAAGTGGTCTGAAGGAACTTGCTCTTTTTTGCCATCTTTCTAGGTTACAGGCAATCCCACTGAGAAGGTGGTTTGAGCCTACTGGTGCCTGTCACTGCCTGCAGTGATAAGCCTTGGTGTTTTCATTAGAATGCACTGCAGGAAGGCTGAGGCATCCCTAACTTTACTTTCACATCCATTCAGTCCATGATACTTTTGTGATAGTGTATGGCTTAGACCAGTGCCTCTGGACTTGTGAATAATAACGTGAAATAAAAACTGCTTGTGTGTTTACTGGGTTCCAGGAACAATTCCAGTATTTAAATATATTTGGTTAAAGAAACAGCAGTATGCTTTGTTCTGTGCCACCCATCAAAGCAGGACAACAAATAACATTGCTTTTTTTCTATTTTAAGTAACCATGAAGTTTCATTTGAGTGACACAAATTCTGTCTTTATCAAAGGGTTTTTATTTGTGTGACACACCTGATGGAAGAATGAAAGGACCCAGTGCAGAGTTTTCCTTTTTACAGATATAGCCAACTTGCAGCTCACATGGCTGGTTTTCCCATTTAGCATCTCTTCTGGGATTTAGTACTGCACAGAGTTTCTCAGGCTCAGGCTCAGGACTTCCTTTATAGAATAAAAAAAAAAAAAAAATTTTACGTAACACAGGTTTTACATCAGCAGCTGAAAGAACAATTTACTGCCAGTCTTTTCATGTGTCAATTATGGACTCATGACTTCATTGCTACAGTTATTTTTCTACCAGAGATAAGGAAATGTAATTTAAAAGTGCCCATAAAAACATTTCTTTAGAAGCTTGTTGCATAGTTCACACTTTCTGCCACATTTGATTGCAGAATAGTGGTCTCAAAAATAAGACATTCCTATAAGTTTTGTGAAAATTGTTGGCTTGCACAGAAGAGAGACTAAACTTTGAGCTTGCCTTGATGGAAAGGCTGCAGTAAGTCCTTTCCATGCCCTCCCACCTGTTTAATCAGCCTGTGCACAGGGGTCAGCCACCCAGGGGAGTCTTTCCCTCCTATGTGAGGTTCTGGTCCAGCAGCTTTCAGTGATTTGCTGGAACAACAAAGTTCCACTCAGGCCCTTTGGAAAGGTCCTTTCTGCATGTTCCTTCGACAGCTTGGCTGCAAATTTGCTCCTTGCTGCATGAAAAGCCTCCTCACATGCCCTCACACTTGCTGTGTGTCTCAGCCTGCCTCTGCAGCCAGCCCTCCAGGAGGTTCTCCAGGACCACTGTCCATGGGGAATGGGCTTTCCTCTTCTTAGAGAAGTCCATAGTGTGATGACTTACTTTTTTTTTCCTCCCCGCAGAAGATACAATTTATCATAATCTTGCAGTGAACTGCAAATGTAGAGATTAACTCATGATAATAACCATCATGTGGGGTTACAGGAACTCCAAGGGTGTGAGCTGCTTGACCCGAGAGCCAACTGCTCCTCTTCTCTGCAAGGCTAAAGGAATTTGACCAGCTCAGCAAAAGATAGAAAACCCTCCACCAGACTCAGCAACTCTGGGCTTTCCCTTCATCCTCCGTGCCAGGTAAAATCAGGCGGCACCTCTGAGCCTTGGGGAAGGACAAGAGATGGAGTACGCGTGCATTTATTCCACCAGCAAATGTCCAGCGTTTGCTGCAACCAGCTGTTGCCATGACAATAATTAAGCGACTTTCAAAGATAAACTGCCAGTGCTGTGAACTCTATTTACAGGCTCTCTTGAATGTTAAAAAGGAGAGAAGAAAAGAGGAAAAGCATAAAAAGTGAAGGGGAAGGCTTTGCAAGACTGATGCTCACTGACAGCTGAGTCCTTGCAGGATGCGGGGTCTCATAACCCTTGTGGGAGTTGCAGCGGCACGGAGGTTTTAACTGACTTGAAGGCATTCCTAGTATGCTACAGCTCAACTAGTGCTTTTCACTGTGTCTGCTTCTGGTAGAAGATGAGTTTATTTAGCTCTTCTGCTTGAAACTCCTTGTAATATATCCAGTGAAGAAAGGCATCATTCTCAGCTTTTTAATCTCATGTGTCTCATAAGCTTTTCAGCTCAATTTCCTCGTGTTCATGGTGAATACGACAGGACTGTAATTAATAGGCATTCATCATACTGGCGGGAAAAATTAATTCCAAAAACTGTTAAAAAAAGATTACTACCTGGTGCCCAGTTCAAGTATCTGAAGGGAATGCCACCGCTCCACTGCCAGCCACTGTTGAGATTCAGGCTGTTAAGACCAATCCAGAGAGAGGATCTCTTGCTGTCAATCAAATCTAGGTAACCAAAAGGGTTGAATTCTAATGAGATTTGTTAGGAAATACTCTGCATTTTCAAAGTCTAGAGGAAGATAATAAATGTCAGCTTAGTGATTTCTAAGTTCAGTACAGAATCCGTGTTTATTGGTAATAAACTCAGAGAGTTTATTCTGTAGATAAAGGATAGAGAATGGCAAAAGACTGTTTTGCATATTAGTTTATCTAAATTTAATGCTATTCTACAGTTATATGGAAGCAATAAGATTTGAAAACTGAGACACTGAATTGCTATTGTGAATATTTTTGTTGCAAATTTGCTTGATTGTGATGCAGTTGATACAGGGACTTCATTATACAGACTCCATGCGTAAATCCAGAAAGTGTTTAGATTTTTAATAGTGTTTTGTGTATAATTTGTATAGTATTTCCAAAAACCTATTTCATCAGATATTCGTGAAGAATACCGATTTCCTAACACAAAAGTCATACAATGACTGCCTCCTGTGATGATGTTCCTTCTTGTAAAGTCAACTTACAACCACAACTTACAAAAGTTCCACCTATAAAAAGCTTCATTTACAGTAATTGTACTATTTCTCTAGCAGTACCTATACCGTTTTTCCATCAGCTATTCATTGTAATGTGCTTAAAGCGCTGAAACATTTGTAATCAGTCAAAAAAACTCTTTGACACTCTTTTTACTGAGTCTTCCTTATTAGTTCACCTCTTAGATACATTTGTTCATGTATCTCTGTGACACTTAATAATTCCGCATTCTGCTGCCGGCAGCTTTTTCTTGCTTCGTGCCACGTGAGAGCTGACTGGTAGTTCATCTGGTAGTAGGTTCCTGTCAAAGGATCTGTATTCCAAAATCTGTCATCGTCTGTGTGAGAGAAAGGAGATTTAGTATCGCAGGTTGTTATAAACATCTTAGACAAAATGTTATGAGAAAATTTAACTGCAGTCTTACTTGTGTTTGCCAGTTTATATAGTAAGGATGTGCTGGGATTTTTCAAGCTACTGCATGCAATATTGCACCAGGAAACAATTTTCAGTAATATCAGTGAAAATGGTATTGGTAGTTCGTGGTTGATAATGAGTTGAACCTGGTTTCCCAGTGCAATACTCCTATCAAAATGACAAATAGTGAGTGTGTGGTATAGCACTGAAAAACGAGGTCTGAGGCAGAATTTTTAATATCTTCATTAACACTATACTTTGGTGTCCTTCATTCTGCGCTCAGACACACATACATCTATCTGTTCAGGTAACATTGTCTAGTAACGTAATCTGAACCATCGCAAGGGAAGGGCTGACGGTGCTGCTATTTCAGTAAGACCTTTGAGCCATTCTTCTTATTCTGTGTCATTCAGAAAACAAACTACATCCTCCCGTGGACTGTAGACCGATCTTGTTATATGGAACAGGGATTTGCACAGGTAGAAAAGATTGTACTATCGTTACTACAAATAGCGGTGAGGGAAGGAAAATTAGGCTGTGAGTAGCATCTCAATATTCAAATGATTTCAAGCTGAATGCAGTCATATTTAAAGCATACTGGTCTTTTCCTGGGTGTTAGCTGCTGGTGGGCACACCCAGGCAACTTGCAGCCTGACTGTGGACTCATAGGAAACGTTTTTGTTTCTTCTGTAAGGAATGTTATCGCATGACAGAAGAATGCTATGGTATGACAGAGACATTTTTGAGTACAATGAAGTCATTACAAGGTTTTTCCCTTCCATGTTGTTAACAGCATCTCAGTATTAATATATTTACCTAACAGTGTTGTGTTATAGCATCTATGTCAGCAGCTGGGACTTACTGCCAGTTGGACAGAACCCATACAGATGGTCGGCGTCGAAGTCAGGAGTGGTTGCACACCAGAGCAAGCCGTCTGACCTGCCAGCAGTCGTGCACCCTGCGTACCAGTTACCGCTCAGCTGGAAGGGGAAGGCGCACGGAGCTCCGTTGGCGTTTCCTAACAGTGTAAACAGATCTGAGGGGGCAAAAGAGAGATGATAATACAGATATGGGAATCTGGGGGACCCAGTTCTTGACGTATCTGTACTTTCCATGAGACTGTGTGGAGAAAGTGTTACAAGTGTTATACTGGCGTAACTGGGGACCTACTGTCACCAGCAGTGTCTTACAAGGAAGTTCTGTCTAGGTCTTGCAATTTACCGTTTACTTATGATATCACCTGCTGTAAAAGCTGGAAATAGAGCAGACTCATACTGCAGCCAACTATGAAAGAACTGTAGTGATTTTTGGCTCACCTATTTAAATATAATTTTCTATAAATAGCATTATTTGTTTATCATGTAGCTTAACTTTCAGAATCACAGAATCATTAAGGTTGGAAAAGACCGTTAAGATCATCAAGTCCAACCATCAACTGAACACCGTCATGCCCACTAAAATCCATCATTCACTGAAAATAAATCATTTATTTAATTGTTACATGTTGTGAGATTTTTGGCATCTGAAATCTCGTAGAGCAACTGAATGGTAGCGTGCACGGAATTTCCTTCCATTTAATATTGGCATCTTAAAGATTTTTGCTGTACATCCAACAATACTAATACAATTTCACTAGTAGTAGTAGCATACAGTTAAAGAAAGTGCTTTGATTAAAGCTAACAATTAAAAATAGCCTAGATCCACCATTGCTTTAAAAGTAAATTTAAAAATGCACTATTTTTGCACATACTGCATTCAGTCTGAAGCTAAGGCGCTGTGCATCTCCAGGACGGAGGAATACAGGCCTGAATACGTGAACTAATCATCCTCCAGTCCACCGTTGCCTCAGGGGGAACACCTGACGTTAGACTAAGGGAAGCAGAAATCAAAGGACCCTCTCCGTGATTGAACAAGTGGGTTCAATACACCATCAAGATTAGCCTTTAAACTTTACCTTCATGGCCTTGAGAACACAAGTCACCCATGGTTTCGTAGATCTTCCACTTATTCATCACTGCTGATCCTGTGTTCAGCACGATATTGTCTTCTTTTCTTTTGCCAGCACTGAGAAATAAATCTTCCCCTTGGATTGCCAAGGTTGCGTTTCTGCACTCCCATTTCTGGAATTCACTTTTCTTGTTACAGGGGTACAAAGAAATTTTGGCTTGGTTTTGCTTGTAGGGCACTCCCAAACATTGTGCAAATGCCACGCTCATCACCTGGTGATCAGACACCCACCTGAATTTTTGTAACTCGGTGTTTTTCTTGCAAGCAGCTGTTGTGACTGCATGAGAACTCTGAGCAATTAAACAGAGCTTGGTATCCTCATTGTATATTAAAAATACTTCATTGTCTGTAAAAGAAAATTGTCACAATTAATGTATTTATGGTGAGCACATGGTGAGGGGAGCTTGTGAGGAAAGAGATGTGCTGGTGATTCTGTGCTGATCTGACTCATGTCGAGACTAAATCTGAGTCATTTTTGCAAAGGTCAAACAGCATTTTCAACTGTTATTTCCTTCTGGGAAGCAAAAATAGGTGCAGCTCATGTAAATATAATACAGAGGACTAAGAGAACATAAAATACATTATGACACCTTCAAAAATGTCATCAATATAGTGGAATTTTCATGAGCATAGTGAATTTTATTTTTCTAAATCACTCCTGAAATACACATTTCTCTCAAGATTTCCAAAAGGCACCTTAGTGAAGATTTGAAAGTTTGCCATCATTTCATGCACTATAGGTTTAGCTCATGTTACATACTTGTCCACAGGGTTGCATTTGTGCTTAATGCAATTAGGGAGTGAGGCTTCTGTGACTCTTGCTCCTTCTTTAATTCGCATGTTCTGTTATGGTCTGGGTTTTGTGGGGTTTTTTAGGAGGAAAAACTGTGGAACAGTGACTTGCTGTCTTGCCTTGTTCCGGTATCCTCTCATTAGTATGGCTATCATAAGAAGTCAACATAATTCACACAATCAGATCACAAACATTCTCACAAAAACCAACACTGGGCAGTATATAGAGGTAAAGATACTACGTGTGTGTACCTGTGTGCCTGCACATTGCTATGGGAAGACAATACGTGGATGCTGAACAAGCTAGCTAACACTCCCGAAGGATTATAGGCAGCCTAATTTAGTAACTCATCAAGACAAGTGGGCCCTGCTGGGAAGGGCTGCCCAGTGCTGCGGTCGTACCGCCGACATGGAAAGCAGGTTGTTCGGTGCTAGGCATGGGTTTGTGAACACAGCTGCCTGCTTTTCAAGACGTCAGGCAGTGTACAGCTCCCACTGGTCGTGAGGGAGTGAAATTTGGACTACAGGGAATGTTCTAGGGCCTATGAGGCGGGAGGGCAAGGCTTTGCCCTTCAGTTCTCTGTGCCTCAAACCGCCACCTGGAAACAGAGATGTGGCGTCACCCCCGTGTCCACCTGGGGCAATAACCACGTAAGGGACCCCTCCAAGCACTAAAGTAAATTTGTAGGACAAGGGCAGGCACAGACAATGTGGAGTATGGGGCAATAACCACGTAAGGGACCCCTCCAAACACTAAAGTAAATTTGTAGGACAAGGGTAGGCACAGACAATGTGGAATGGTGAACAGAGCAGAAAGTGTCTGGGAAATTCTGGGAAGTTATGACAGGAAGAATAGTTCTTGTTAGGATGTCTGTATTTCATGCTTGAGCTCTCCCAAGGAGGCCCTGTATTACTTTGACCAGCTTAGTAATCTATGGAAGTTTCACTTCTTCAAACCTAAATTTGGAACCAAGATCTAGTTTCTTCTTTCCTTGTCCATCTAGACAGAAAGTTTTAAATCTTCTTAAATCTTTTATTTCTTACTGCTAACGAAATAAGTGCTTGGTGTAGTGCCCTAAGTTTCAGCTATTACCCCTCATAGTATTTTTGGGTCTAATAATAGGAGTTCTTACTGAAAACTGTGAAGTTTGTGCTTGGGCCATCACATGGGTTTGGGTCCCAGCTTGCAGAGCAGAGGGGAGACCCCCTTTTTACACAGGCTAGTGCTGGCACAGCTCACATGGCACAGTGTCTGCTTTTGGAAGCTGTGATTTGTACCCTACTCCTCCACAAATCTAATGAATTGAACGATAAAGGAAGAATGTCCTTGAACCTTATCACCACCCTTACATCAAAAGGGAGCTGCGATCTGTCCTTGGTCAACTTCAAAGCCGTAGCTATGCCTCTCGTCCGTACCCTGAAAGCCTTAGTGGTTATTCCAGGGCTGTTCTTGACTCGGTTCTTTTCAATATTTTTTTTCACTGGCATCTGCTCAGCCACAGTATTACATCTCACATCAGTCCACAAGCTCCATCTCATCCCACACAACCTCATCCTAAGGCTAGCAGATACATATACAGCATCCTATGTAATTTCTTTCTCTTTTTCATTTTTCGTAACTCAGTCACATATACGGACAAGGACTAGGGAGCACACTGTGAAGTCCATCTACTTCAGAGAGCAGACATGATAATTAAGTTGTATCCAAAAGGAAATCTTTATCTGCATACATGACTGTCCTGACTTCTGATTCCCATCTTTTCCCCTTTTTGACTCTTCCCCTCTCTTTAAAAGTGAACCAACATCTCTGTATCTATCTGCATCTTTTTTAAACTTCTGTGGACCACTCCAGTTAGGATGAATATGAAATGCAGGATAGTCAAGCTGCATGAAAATTTTAAAGAGCCTGAGAAACAAGACAACAAAAATGCCCACTTTCACATCCACTTTTGCAGGGGATAAAAAACAAGGACTCACCGAGTGTCTGAAAAGCAGTATGAATGACAGAGAGGAAAACTAAGGCCGTAGAAAAAGTCAAGTGTTTCATTTCTTTCTTCTCATTCACAAAGAGATGAGGTGAAATTAATTGCTGCAGTAGAAGTCCTTAAGGAACCAGTTGGCACTGGCCTCTTCTCACTTTTGGAGAGTTTTAGTTGAAAGAGAAAACTCTGGGCTCTAAATAAGGAAATATCCTGTCACATGTGGTATTTTGAAATCTACACATTATTACAAAACTCAAACTTTGCATCTGAAAGTGAAGTTTCCTTCCATTTGAAGGCAAGTGGCAAGGTTTGAACAGTTCAACATCATTCTGCTGAATTATTTTTAACTTTCTTGGTTCTGCTCTGGGATTCCAAAGTCCTGACCCTCAAAGACAAAGAAGTAGCGAGTGCACTTTAAATGGATGTACTTCGAATCTCATACATACATACCTGGGAAACGCAGAAAAATATATATGCAAATTTCTTGGACAGATAGGTCTTCACTGCTACAAAAGATATATTAATTTAATTTGATGCACCGAGCAATGTTGACTATTTCAGTGTGAAAAATTAACCCAGATGGGACAATTTAATTTTGTTCAGTGACTTGACAAACTGGGCAATATGTATGCACCTGGCTTTTATCTCCTAGATTTTGTCAGCTGGTAAAACTACTGTGCTGTTATTTCGTGTGAATTTATCTCAGGAGAACCAATACAAATTAGCTAAATCTTTACAAAATTTTCTGTTAACCAGTGATTTTGACACCAAAACTGCCCTTCAAAATTATTTAATCCATAAACTACAAATGATTTTCAATATTTAATAATTCTTTCTTTGTACCTAATTTGTATAAATGAGACAAGCAGAGAGGAATATTCTCAAGCATTACAAGTGAGCTGCAGCCCTTTATTCGGTGGAAATCAACTTCATCTATGATGCAGAATTCCTTATTTATTTTGAAGGAAAAGGAAGAAAGATATTCAGCAGAGATGGCCCTTAGAACTTTTTCTGTCATTTTTTATGTCTCTATGAGGAAGACAAATCTCACAATATATTCTGCAAGGGAAAAAGATCACTTAATGTGAGAGAAGAAACCCATTTACAGAGTGTAGGGTCTTCAGAGCTGTGTTACCAATATCAACCATCAAAATAACGAAATTATAAATAATGTTATTATTTTGGGTTTGAGGGGTTTTTTTCCATCTGTTTACTTTTTTCATTTTCCTTGTCTTTATCATTAGCCGTCAAACAGCACTGAATCCAATTCAGTGTCAGTATTTACAAAAAAGATAGATATGGGTATGTGTTCTAAATTACAAGAAGGAAAAAAACAAAACAGGCATAAGATCAAGGAAACTGTCAGTAAAAGTAGTTTGACTACAGAATGCCCTTCATTCCTTATCCTTTCCAATATGTTTTATTTGACTGCAATATCTACAGACCAGCAATCCAATGTCATGTGAATCTCTCCTTCCCAACAATCTCTTCTGTACAGTTCTTATGCACTTTCTCAGGGTCTGTTTTCCCCAGAGATCCTTAAGATCTCTTTTTTTTTTTTCCTTCAGTCTGTCATAGACAACATAGAATTAATACAAAACTTAAACAGCCAGTGAACCTCTAAAGCATTTCACTACCAAGACGCTGTGGTGTGCCCTACTGCCTTAACGGCTTGTAGCATGGGTACAGTGCCCAGTCCTCAGCCCATTTATCACAGGGTTGGGGGTTAGTAAGAAGAGACATCCTAAAATGAGCAATCAGGTGAAAGAAAACCAGGAATGGACTTTTCCAGCTTTAGTCAGCATCCACTTTATTTTATTGTTTATTTATGTTTCTTTTTAGTCATATGCCTCGTTCATGTTTCTGTGTTTCTTCCTGTTAGACTGTCTTAAGGTGAATGACTCATTAGATCATCAAACTGTGTAACATCTCTGCATGTTAATTAAAAAACACTGAAGTATTATTATGCTATTATATTATATATATGCTATATACATTATATATATTATATTATTAAATATATAGATCCTTTATTGATATAGTCTCATATTCATAAATGATACAAAACATTCAAAATCGTAGAATATGACTGTTTTTAAATATTTACTTCTTTGCAAAATCCAAGTTGAAGCCATGAATGAAGGACAAGTATTTGCATTTCAGTTATAATGCCATAGCAAGAAAGATACTTGTGTAAAGAGTGTTAAGACAGGGGCAATAACGGGGAAAAACAATTAATGTATATCGCTATTTATTCCAAACACCATATTACTTGAGTAACAGTATGCGCGCTTCCGTATGTTATGGTGAGATACATTCTCAAAGTGCGGGCTTGTGGGCTGAGTGCTCTGCAGAGAGAGTGCTCACTGTATGTCTGCACTTGGCTCTGGGATGCTGCCACAAACCTCTAAAAAGAGAGAACACTAGGGTATTAATCCATAACTTTTAAATCTCAATTCCCATTAGTTCTGTTGTTTTTCCTGCTTGTTTAGTTAGTGATTTTATACAGTACTGACTCTTAGTCCCGAGAGTATTTCTTGAAGAACATAGAGCAATAGAATTACCAAAGGAATAATTTAGTTCATAGCGTCTCTTAGGTGCATGTAACTTTTACTAAGATTTCCTTTGTTCCAACTAGATTTTTTTTTAAGCTTAACCATATAGTTAGACTGTGTTATCCCATTAGACGGCACTGTGTTCATGTTTTTCTTTGTCGTTGGTAGAATCATTTTCATCATCCCTTCCAGTTAGGACGTGGCTGTGTTCTAGCAGTGTGCTGTGCTGCCTTACCTCTCTCTCAGTCTTACTTTGAATTTTGATCTTGAATAAGAAATAAATCATGAAGCCCATCCCTAATAAAATGATGAGGACCAGAGTAAGTAGTATCCACATATTGTGACCATATGCTTTGTCCTTTTTGGCATCTGTAAATAAACACAAAGCAAATAGAAGTGGGTGTACTGTAGCCATGAATAAATATGAAGAATACTGAAAACTACTGGTATAATTTTCCCCTTAATTACAGGGTTGTTAATCAGCAACCCACATTTATGAAGGAAATAGATTATAACCTTAACATCTCCTGGCCTTCCTCTGCTGTTCTCTTGGGGCAAGGAAAGGAGGGTGGGAAAAGAAGCTATGATAATTAATGTGTAGATATAATTGTATGGCTTTAATGTCTAAGAGATTTATTAAAAATCTATCATAATGTCTCTGTGTCAGTCTCCCTCACAGATTTGAGCATGCAAAAGAAGGAGCAAAGAGGGAGTATCAGTTTACCAAAAATTTACTTATCCTGGGATGCCCTAAGTGTCTCACAGGTACTGCTAAATTATGCTGGGAATGAATTCAATGTCAACTAAGTAAATTAAGCTCGTATAAATAAATATATCAAAAACAAATAAACAATAAATATAAATTTGTAAAAAAACCCAAAGGTTTCTTTTCCTGTCTCTTTGAAACTATTGGGAATGAGAAATAAATCCTACCTTCCACGTTTGCAGCTGCTTTAAGAATATCTGTCAAAGACAAAGACAAATGTTTAGTCAAAATCTGAAAAGGTCACATTTTCAGCCTGACAGTTCAATGTTAGCAAAAGGTCTGGTAACCTGCGCATCATGGTTACCTTGTCACTTCTCCTGGAAGCACATTTGGTAAATTAAAAGAGTTGAAAAGATGTGATTGATTTTTAACCTGATATTCACTGTAATAAAACTGCAGCGTTTTGCATATTCAAGCCTCCTTCTTGCTTATTTTTTAATAACCAAAGAATCTCCAAGCACAGGTAGTTTCTGACTGTTTTAGATGGACTCTTCCTTCTCCCCTGGTTAATAAATCTTGCCTTCTTCACTGGGTCTGCATGCCAGCGGAGACTGGGAACAACTTGATCAAAAGCTGAAGATATTTGACAGTTCTCCTGTAGTGCACACAGTTCCTTTGAGACTCAGCAGATTTTAATTTACCGTGATTCATTTTCATCTATAATTATTTATGAACTCAGGCGTATGCAGTTTTTCCCGGCTGTGCAAAGAGGGCGCCGTCCGCCAGATTTTGCGCTGTGCGCTGGGTGCAAGTTGGACGATGGCCAACGCAAGAGCAGATCTTCCCCGTGGGCAGCAGGAGCCGCAGGGAGAGTTGGAGTGTGTGTTCCAGCGTAGGAAGCACTAGGAGCCAGGCTGCCGCAGCAGAAGCACAGCAATGCGTTAAGCTCCGGAGTGTTTGTGAGCACCAGAGAAATGCAACTATTAAATTGTCCCTTGTAAGGGGACAATTGCCCTTGTTTATGCTGAAACGCCATTCTGCTGGAGAACCTGGTGTCCGGGAATAGTCTCTGTACTTTGGCGTTGTACGTAGGGGCCACTCACAGTCAAACCCAACAAATGAAGTATGTGTTGACACTGAGTCTCTGCTTTCCGATATATCTGGTAGCAAAGAATGAGCTTTCTGTAGTGTCTATTGCTCTGACTACTCAAAGAAAACTAGGAGTTGCCCTAAAAGGAGAATTTTCCTTTTCAGAAAATGCTCTGACACCACTACGAATGTGTATGGCTGCTTTCCCCACCAGCTGTGGCTTTGCTCTGGGAAGGGAAAGGACAGAACCTCAGAAACATCTCAAACCTCGGGGTTGCGAAACAGTGCAGGAAATTGTACTTTTTTTGCAGAATTAACAGTTAAACTCCAAAATAGCACACGGCTGCTTGGCTCGCAATATTCTGATATTTCTACTTCCTGACCAAAGCAGATGGTGCTCAGTTACACAGAAACACAATATTAAAATAAAAAAAAAAAAAGCTAACCAAAACACTTCTACTATTTTCAAAGGTCACTATACGCGCTCTGGATCATGCTTCCATTCTGTTATTATTTATATGGAATTGCTTCATCCACCTCTTACTGGAACAGCATGTATCATGTACAGGAACAGGAAGAAAAGCAAATTATTGATGCAACCCTTGTTCCATAGAAAGTGAATATAAATGCTAGCAGGAAAATATGTATGTATGTTGGAGGGGAGCAAAATGACAAAGGAGTTTAAAAATCTTTCAGAAAATATTGATCATCTTTA